TAGACTTGGGCGGTGTAGGGGGAGCGAGGGGGGTTGATATAGGAAGGGATGGGAAGGGGAAACAAAGGAGAAGGCAACAATGTTTGATAAGAAATGTACTCATGGGGCTGGGAAGGTGGCTCAGTGGTAGAGCGCTTGCCTTGCATGCATGAGGCCCTGGGTTCGATTCCTCAGCACCACATAAGCAGAAAAACCCAGAAGTGGTGCTGTGGCTCAAGTGGTAGAGTGCTAGCCTTGAACTGAAGAGCTGAGGGACAGGGCCCAGGTCCAGAGTTCAGGCCCACAACCGGACCCAAAAAAAAAGAGGCTACATAATCTATGATCTCTGTGACATGGCCAGAAAGTCCACAGAGCCAAGAAGCGTGCTGCGGGGGAGGAGCGGGGAGTGACTGCCACAGACTTCTTCTGGGCAAGGAAAGGTCTGGGTGGAACCATGTGACTTGAGTTCACTAAGAACTCACCATTAACCTTTGAAACGCAGCTTCACACATGTGGATTCTGTCTCAGTAAGAAATACAGGCTTGAGGATGAGCCGTGGTGGGAGAGGCCGCGGCCAGACAGCCAGCGGCCTGTCTTGGACTAGTGTGCTCTGCATATTCTGGTCTGCACCATGACGAGGCCCTGCTGCCCGAGAATCCTGGGGCACAGGGCTGGAGTCTGTGCCACTCAGGACTCTGAGTTTTAAATGACAAAAAAGGAAGTAAATGAGTATCTACAGGGCATATGGTAAGGAAAATATGTTAACTCTATATTAACCCAAGTCCGCCGGGGACAGCTTCGCTGTGGCTTGGTCCAGGGGCTGAGTGGAGTTGGGTCGTACCAGAGCTCCCCTCCACACTGCTTCCTCCAAGACAGCCCTGGCAAAACCCATGGTTCCTCAGCAAACATCTACCCGCTAATGCCGCCATCCCTGGGACTCAGGGTCCAAAAGAGGCCGAGGACTACATTGGGATTACATCCTGGCTGCAGGCCCCACCTGTGACGCCAGGCTCTGGAACCCAGGAGACACTTCCTGCTCCAGACTTCAGTCAGAGTGTGACCCGAGAGCAAGCTTGAGCTTAGGAGAACTCTTCCCATGGGGTGGGCATGAGCGGGGTGTGATTTGGCAGCACCCTGCAGCTGCCCGCCAGGCAGAGCCTCGTCCCATGTGGAGCTCATGTTCACTGGGGTCTCTGCCTTGTTGCGTGAGGGGCCACAGGCCCAGGCTGCCCAGGCTCCACGGAGCCCCTCTCCCCATGTCCCAGGCCCCGACTGGAGTCACTCACTCTGTTCTAGGCACCTACGTGATGACCGTCACCGCCAACGACGCAGACGACGCCACCACAGCCAACGGGATGGTGCGCTATAGGATCGTGACCCAGACGCCACAGAGCCCGTCTCAGAACATGTTCACCATCAACAGCGAGACCGGGGACATCGTGACAGTTGCGGCCGGCCTGGATCGCGAGGTGAGGCGGGCTGTGGGCTATGAGGCTGCATGAGGTGTGGGACCCAGGAGTGGAGGAAGCTGGGGCACTGTCAGGAAACTGGGGTTACCCCTACGTGGACCCCTGTGTGGGCTGAAGGGAGAAAGACCCAGCAGAGCCCTCAGCACAGCTGTGTGGATGCACAAGGCCCCAGTCCAGTTCTGTGGTATGCGTGGTACCCTAGGGTTGAAAGGAGGAACAAGCCCCAGGGTTCGTTTCTGGGACCCAGACATCCCAAAGCTCCAGGTCTTGGGTGGTTTGAACATCTTAGGACCCAACACTGAGAGCACTCATAATACAGTGGGCACTGGGGGCAGCACCACAAGCTGGAGTCAGGGCTGGACCGATGGCTCTTACACATGGGGTTCTGTGTCCAGACAGATAGGATGCCTCTGCTGTGAAAACAAGGACTCACTAGACAATTCTCTCTGGCCCTGTTCCAGAAAAAGGCACAGCATTTCTTACTGGCACCTAAAATGTCAGGGGGTGCACTGGAGGGTGCATACACTGAAGGGCCTGTGCACTGGAGGGCCTGTGCACTGGAGGGCTGCAGTGGAGTATGTGCACTGGAGGGCTGTGCACTGGGTATGTGCACCGGAGGACGTGCACTGGAGAGCCTGTGCACTGGAGGGCTTGTGCATTGTGCACTGGAGGTTGTGTGCACTGGAGGGTACTGCACTGGATGGTGTGTGCACTAGAGGGTGCATTACTGGGACAGCGTGTACTGGAGGGCGCATGCACTGGGGGAATCATGCACTGGAGGATACGTGCACTGGAGGGAGTGTGCACTAGAGGATGTGTGCACTGGAGGGCACGTGCACTGGAGGGTGCTGCACTCAAGGGCATGTGCACTGGAGGGAGGGTGCACTGGAGGGCATTGCACTGGAGGATGTGTGCACTGGAGGATACTGCACTGGAAGGTGCATGCACTGGAGGATGCATGCACTGGAGGGAGTGTACACTGGAGGGTGTGTACACTAGAGGGTGGGTGCACTGGAGAGCGTGTGCACTGGAGGGCCTGTGCACTGGAGGATGTGTGCACTGGAGGATACTACAATGGAGGGTGCATGCACTGGAGGATGTGTGCACTGGATGGCACATGCACTGGAGGGTGTGTGCACTGGAGGGAGTGTGCACTGGAGGGAGCGTGCACTGGAGGGAGCGTGCACTAAAGGGTGTGTCCTCTGGAGGGAGCGTGCACTAGAGGATGTGTGCACTGGAGGGCACGTGCACTAGAGGGTGCTGCACTCAAGGGCACGTGCACTGGAGGGAGGGTGCACTGGAGAATTGTGCACTGGAGGATACTGCACTGGAAGGTGCATGCACTGGAGGATGTATGCACTGGGTGGTGCATGCACTGGAGGGAGTGCACTGGAGGGAGTGTACTGGAGGGTGTGTGCACTGGAGGGCACATGCACTGGAGGGAGCTTGCACTGGAGGGAGCATGCACTGGAGGGTGCTGCACTGGAGGGAGTGTGCACTGGAGGGTGTGTGCACTGGAGGGTATGTGTACTAGAGGGCCTTGCACTGGACGGTGTTCACGGGAGGGTGCATGCACTGGAGGGCACATGCACTGGAGGGCCTTGCACTGGACGGTGTATGCACTGGAGGGTGTATGCACTGGACGGTGTATGCACTGGAGGGTGTATGCACTGGAGGGCCTTGCACTGGAGGGTGTGTGCACTGGAGGGTGTGTGCACTGGAGGGCCTTGCACTGGAGGGTGTGTGCACTGGAGGACCTTGCACTGGAGGGTGTGTGCCCTGGAGGGTGTGTGCACTGGAGGGCCTTGCACTGGAGGGAGTGTGCACTGGAGGACCTTGCACTGGAGGGTATGTGCACTGGAGGGCCTTGCACTGGAGGGTGTGTGCCCTGGAGGGTGTGCACTGGAGGGAGTGTGCACCGGAGGAGTTGTGCACTGGGGGGCACATCAACAGTAGCTTTGCAGCCATGTGACTTGATGAGAAGGGGAGGTACCCAGCTGCCCTCACCAGCTGTGAGACACAGACACCTCAGATGTCGGAGGAATCTGATCCTCCAGCCACAACACCCTTCATCTGAGAGGTTGGAGTGGCAAGCTGTCCCAGAGACACCAACCATCAGAAAGAAGCACTGAGTGGCCGTCAGGGCGTGGCGAGCAGCTTGTGCTGCTCAATCTAAAATCTTACCTCGGGAGTCACAGAGGCACATACCTGTCATCCCAGCTGCCTGGGAGGCAGAGGCAGGGGTTGGAGGGCAGCAGAGAGAAGTTAGCAAGGCCCGGTCTCAAAAACAAAATACAAATACAAGAGCTGGGACGTAGCTCCCTTGATAGGTGGCTTGTCTAGGATGGGTTAGGCCTGGGGTTTATTCCCCAGTACTATTTTTTTCAGTCTGGGTACAGTGCCTCATATCTACAATCCTAGCTACTGGAGAAAGAGATAAGGAGGATCTCAGATTGAGGCTAGCACCAAGCAGCCCTCCCTCCATATCTCAACTCACAGCTGAGATGGTGGACACACCTGTCCTCCCAGCTATAGCCGAGGTCTGCATAGGAGTGATCGTGGCCCAAGCCAGCCCAGACAAAAAGCAAGACTCCATCTCAGACATAACCAGGGCAAAGGAACTGGAAGCTTGACTCAACTGGTAAGAGTTCCTGCGTAGCAAGTGCAGGCTCTGAGATGGAGCCCCAGCACCACTGAAGCTGTAGGGAGGTAGGCTGGCACTCTCGGCCTCAGAGCTGCCACGATCTTGTACCTTTGTCTCATGCCAGGAAGATCCATAAAGGCCCTGTCACCACACACGCACACTCACACACACACACACACCTATGCACACACACATACACTGCCCGCCAATGACCTTGAATGACCCTGCTCAGCTGGACCAGGCTCTGCACTTCAGGCTGCCCCTGGCCCTTAGCTGGGAAAATGGTCACAGGGTAACATCTGGCAGGGAAGGGCTGCAGTCCCGGTGCCCTCCCCTGCCTGGGCCCCCCAACCCTGCAGAGGAAGGGCAGCGCCAGGGCCCCGAGCAGCCGTGACCGCTGCCTGATCCTTCAGGCCAGTGCCTCGCCCAGAATGTTTGCACACTTACATTGGTGGAGCCGTGTATAGTGAGCAGTGTGTGCGTGTGTGCACATGTGTGTGTGTGCATGTGCCATTACAGACGTTCAGACAGTGGGGCTGCCCCGGATAGAGGGCAGGAAAGTGGAGTGGACAGAGGGCTCTACTCCTCAAGGATGGCCTGGCGAGGAAGCTGTCTGTCCGAAGTCCTCAGCTGCCACCTCTGCTGTGAGGCCCGCGTGGGGTCTGTGTCTAAAGCAAAGGCAAAGAAGGGGGGCACGCTGGGGACGGCAGGGACCAGGCGGGGCCGCAGCCCGGGCAGCGGGCAGCCTGTGACAGAGCGTGGCTTCAACCAAGTGACGTGCACAGGTGAGGCTAGCTCAGGAGCCCACGGGTAGTGTGGGCGCAGAGATGGGAGCCTCCAGCGGCAGCTTACCTGGCTGAGAGAGGTGAACGGACATGAGGCCGAGGGGCGTGAGAGACAGAGGCAAGCCTGTCCTATGTGGGACATGGAGAGGGTGGGCTGTTCTGGAATGAGGGACCTGGAGGACGGGCTGTTCTGGAATGAGGGACATGGAGAGGGTGGGCTGTTCTGGAAAGCTGTTCCGGCAGGGTGGCGGAGTGTGGACTCACACTGCAGCTGCAGCCATGCTTGGTCTCCGGCGTGGATGCTATCTGGCAGAGAGCAGAGGGCACAGCCTGAAGCTAGAGGCACGCTCCAAGGATGGCTGCAGACCATGAGTCCTGGGGAAGGACTGGGGTACCAGGCCCCCCGAGTGCTCACAGCTCACGGGAGCAGACGCTCATCTCAGATGGAGGGGTCGTGTGCAGCATTGCACCGGCTCTAGACAGCCTCCTCCGATGTAGCAAAGTCCTCAGCCTCTGGGGAGCCCCCGGACCCCGCAGTGTCCACGCAAGTGTCCACTTGTGTGCAGCTGAACCTCAGAGCCCCACTCCAGCGCCAAGGTCAGCACAGCCTAACGGGAAGCTAGCCTATGTCCAGGTGGAGGCCCAGGGGTGAGGTGACCGCCAGGGCCGCAGCCACAGGAAACAGGAAACACTGCATTTAATTTTTACACACACACACACACACACACACACACACACACACATTAGTGGATTCCAGTGGACTAGGGATACGTGTTGAAAGCCCAGAGCCAGCCGGCAGTGGGGGAGCGGCTCTGAGCTCCAGTGGAACCAGAGACCATCAACTCCTGGGCTTCCCAGGCTGGGCCCACGGCTGGGCGGCCCTTGGCCTTGGGCGCGTGCTGGCGCATTGTACCAGAGCCATGAGAAGGGTTCACCTCCGCCTCCCGAGACTCACATTCCACACCCACCCCTGGCCCCCGCCCCGGCTCCCCGTGGGCTTTTCATGGGCCTGGCTGCCAGGCCACATGCCCAGGCTGGGGATTAACAGAGGAGCTGGCCAGCCCCCACCTCCCAGCCCCAGACCGCCCTGCACCCCCATCAGGGCCAGCAGCTCCTGCTGCCCGCCATGTGTCTTGCCGCTGTCCGCTCTCTGTCACACTGCCTGAGCATTGCCTGCGAAATGTTCCAAATAAAAACGCTCATTTAAAAGCCATTAGAGGTGTGGTTCCCAGACAGAGATGAATGAAGACGGAGGACATTAGACGTCCCCACACGGTGCCAGAGTGACAGCAGCTGAAGCTGCATGCGCAGGCCCGGCTCAGGGCACAGGCCTAGCGGGAGCCCCACGGCGGGGCAGACCTTCCACCCTGCAGCCCTGCACATGCTACAGCCCTGCACACCCTGCAGACCTTCCACCCTGCAACCCTGCACACTCTGCAGACCTGCACACCCTGCAGACTTTCCACCCTGCACACCTGCACACCCTGCAGCCCTGCACACCCTGTAGCCCTTCCACTCTGCAGCCCTTCCACCCTGCAGCCCTGCACACCCTGCAGACCTTCCACCCTGCA